TTCCGACAAAGCATGCTTTATGCCTGTAGGGCACAACATGGTGCTTTCGGCGTCCAGGTGACACCGGGACGTGTACGTACGCCAGAGTCCCAAACTTGCGAATATGGTGGATGTCTGGTTTTATTCCGAACATCATCTGATATGGTATCCCCTGCGTTCCTTTGTTAAACACTCTGTTCTTAATGTAGACGGCATTTTTCAATGCCTCTGGCCACAAATTCTTGGGAAATCCAGATTGATGCATCATGGCCTTAGTCATTTCCATGATGGACTGGTGGGTTCGTTCACACAAGTTCAGTTGAGAACTCTTGGGACCGACAAGTACATGCTCAATTCCATGTGCACTGTACCAACTCTTCATCTCTTGGTTGACGAATTCACCCCCTTTATCCGATAACACTTGCTGAACCATATACTTGATGCGTCCCTCGTTACCATTCCGTCTACCCGCTTGTCTTTCAGCCCACATCACATATTTCTTAATGTGATTGTTGATCACAGCGCTCAACTTGCTGGTCAACAAGTGAACTGTAACAAAACGCGAGTAACCATCCATAATGACGAGCACAGCCTCGTACTTAGTCCCGTTATCCTTGCTTGGGATCAATAGATCGACGTACACAGTCTGGTTCGGAACCTTTGTCTTCCGATCGATCTTCTTCTTATGCGGTTTCTTCTTCTGCTTCGCAATATGACACGCCTCACAATCACCAAGTTGTCTCTGGCGTAACATCATTCCACACACCAAATCTTTGTCGACCATGGTTTTCAGATACTGTGGGCATGTGTGTGCAAGCCTTTCATGCCACAGTTGAAGTGAAGCCACGCCTTCAGCTGTAGTAAAATTGCACAGGCGGCCATTTTGTGGCACAACAATTCCACTTGCTTCTGGATGATTCACAAAGAAACCCCACGTAGACTCGTACGGTGCTGCAACGAACACAGTTCGTCCTTTTTCTTGCACTCGAAAGGTTCTTGTTTCTTGCTCGTAGTCAAAAACAAAACCTTGTTCTGCAGCAAGACCAGGTGAAAACAAACTATGTTCGGCCCCAGGAACGTAAAATACATCATTGAGATAAAACACTACGCGTTCACCATCAACTTCAGTAACCACAGCAACTGTACCAACACCAGTGATCCGTGACGCCATCGCTGGGGTCACACCATGCACACTTTGTGATTCACTTGTGTCTTCAGTAAATGCCACATAGTAAGATCGGTTCCCAGTCAAATGCATGTCAGCGGCAGTGTCAAAGAACCACCATCCTCCAGAAGTATCCGTGAATTCACCAATTTCAGCGTTTTCATCGTCTTGGTTATCCACACCAGGATCTTCATGTTTGTGTTCATTGACTTCAGCTTCAACGCCAGCATCAAACATCATTGCACTTAATGAACCACTCACTACTCCACCTTCAACGTTGACTTGTGCAGGTCTTGTCTGCACATGTGTACTTGAAGTCCGTTGCAAGAGCGTGACATTTCCCCGAGATTTGCGCTTCGTCTCAGTCGTAGCAGCTCCTCCACTCACTTGAGTCTTCGATCGTTCGGGGCATTCAGCTTTGAGGTGCTCCGTACTCTCGCAGATATAGCACTTCTTA